TCACAGTCATTAAAGATGGCTATGCCCATTTTCCACAGTCATTAGATTTCACGATCATAAGTTACAATAAACAGAATAGGAATTGGTTATATTTCAGTCAGTTGAATCTGAGTCTGAGCGTTTTCTCTCAATAATAGGTGAGATTGTTGGGAGGGGGGCGTGAAACATGATATTTCTGATTAATATTGTTGTTCCTGCCTCTCTTGTGCACGGTGATGTAACTAGAAATCAGACAATGTTTTAGAGGCAGGCAAAAGATATCAAAAGATGAAAGCTTATGTGAAAACATGAATTATGCTTAATATAACCAGAAACATGAATTAACTAAGGCAGAGGGTCCCAACTCTGGTCCTGGAGTACCCGCTGTCCTGCAAATTTTAGTGTTTTCCTGCTTCAGCACTCCCATTTCAACTCAGTAAGGGTTTTCAAATGAGATGATTAGCTGGATCGGGTGTGTTGGGAGCAGAGAAACACATGCAAAGCAGAGGTTACTCAAGGACCAGGGTTGGGAATCACTGAACTAATGTAAAAAAGGCAAGTTTTGATTTCAAATTGACTGTCGCTAAGCGATGACCCCTGCGTTGGAATGGTGACCTGTCCAGGGTGTATCCTGCCTTCCGCCCAATGACAGCTGGCATAGGCTCCAGCACCCTCCCGCAACCCAGAAGGATAAGTGGTTTAGATGATATTTTGTGTGTGTGTGTGTGTGAGCACTATGACATGACCAGTACACCTGAATGTAAACTAGAATGGTATGTTGATGCGTCAATTGCTGTTTCTTGACTTATAAATTTATACAGACTTTGCAAAGGTAATGTAAGCTAGTTATATATCTAATGCTAACATTGGTAGCATGTATGCTAGCCGAACAAGTATTTGTTGCTCATATTTCACACTCTCAGGAGGAGCATTTGTGTGAGTGCTTGCATGCACACAACAGCGCAATGTACCATTTATACCATTTCATATCAGTTTAATCTTGGATTAGCTAATTAGCATTACAGTTAATTAGCTCATTTAGCTGCTTTAGTAATTTAATTGTTGCATAAAATAACAGGCCTAACTATTTTGTGTGTATCGACCTGCCAAATCCCTTACAAACTACATTACAGCACCTGCTTTGGTAAAACTAATCCAGCTCAAACGGTGCTAAAGATGATCAGCATGACTCATCATCCACACATGTGACGAGATAGTGCCCTTCCTCCTTCCTCCCTCAGACGACATGACCACAAGATGGGCTTTGGTCAATGTCAAGTGACTGTTTTCCACTAGATGCTCAGAATGCTCAGAGCATAGTACTACACTAACTCACTGCTTCACACACTCACAAAAAAAAAAAAAACGCAACAGCATCCCAGACTTCTCATTTTGACATTAACTGTCATTTTGCTCTATGTCACATTCTGGTAAAGCAGAGAGACCTTGCGAGAGAATGGCCAACAAAGATTGTTCTTGCAAGTGATGCAACTATCCAAGGAAAGCAGTGAAATGACATGCAGCTTTGACAGAAAACAGTTTTGTTTTATATGCCTCAGTAGTCTTGCTAGTTGGTTCATGCTTTCTTCCACAACACTGCGACCTACCATGTTCGACATGTCCTGCATTGCACTACATGGTACAAATCTAAAGTAAATATCATGGCAGATATGGGCAGATTTAACACAGCACATAGCTTATGTTCCAGCAGCTGCCTGCGGGCTCTTTTTTCTGGCTGTGTTATTGTGTTAAAGAGACTGCTATCTGCTCTTCAGCCAGGGGCCTGAGCCATGATATAAACAGCCAAATGCACCTGTATCAAGTCCCCTCTGAAATGGGCAAAGCCAGGTCAGACATGAAGTGTGGGTTTAACAGCCGTGAACTGAAGCGCATAAAGCCATCGGGACTTCTCAGAGAGCTACATGGGGCAACAGGCCTAAAGGCAGCCATGCCTGAGAAAAAGAGAGAGAGAAGTTCAGGTCAGGGTATCACTGCTGTCCTATCAAAACTTTGTAACTTGTTTGTTTTTTTTTTTTTCTTTCATTTTTACACTATTATTATTAGTACACCATATCATTGCCTTTACATTATGAGGACATCTCATGACAAATGGACCAATAGAAATCATCCAAAATTACTTGTTATATATTAAAGTCAGGAATGTAATTTACTTGTCCTAGATAGTTAGGCTGGCTTTAATGCAACTAGTTGCATGCTGTGAGTTGCCTGCAACATAATTTCTGTGCAACTTGAGAGTTACCTGAAGCAATTCAAAAACAATGTTGCATGCAACATGTTCATTTACTCCACTAGTTACTGCACTAGCAGCTTATATTTTTTGATACACTGTATCATTCATGCTATAAAGTCATCCACAAGGTACAATTTACATATTTGCAGCAATTTTATCATCTTGGTATATTTTTTCAGCTGTCACTGCTGTCCTTTTTTATCAATATCTGTCTTATCTATCTATCTAGAGTTCTTTACCATACATTCGAGGTTTAATCTGTTGTATGCAGTGTATGAAATACCCGCTGGTATTTGGGGGGGGTCCCATATTGACTGGCTGCTCCAGTCTTGGCTGGCTGCTAACTCACTCGCTATAGCTTCAATGGCACCGAAATGTTTAGTTAACAGTTTTTTATATGCTCTTTTCTAATTTAGTAATTCGTCACGTAAGTTGAGATCTTACACATCTCTTATTTGGTTTTAGGAATGAATATGAACTCTTTCTGCCAATCTCTTGGGCAACTGGGCAAGTTTTCAGATGTACAAATATGTTACAGCATATTGTAAAGTTTTTCAGAGGAATCCCAAGCATAGATACAGTTGCCAGGCTATGAAGGACTAACTGAGTAATTCGCATGCCTTTGAAAATTAATGTTTAAGTAGTTATTGCAGGTACTTGATGACTCACTCATCCTGTCTTAGAAGCACTGCAGGTCACCTCTTCTATAGGCCTTATAATTTTCCTCCTTTAGATCCCAAATGAATCTGAGTTCTGTGTAAAATTAGGGGCCATCAAGAGGGATAAAATTAATCTAGCGATAACAGCAGGCTAACAAAGACGAATAAATGCTGGTATAAGCAGCTGTTTAAACAGCTATCGGTGCTTGTTGGCTAGTTAACGCGGCTGGTTACAGAAACATTAGCTTTGATAAACATACGTTTGTTTCCATGGTTCAGAAAACGGACAAAATTAAACTACCTCCTTTTCAATCATCCTCATCAATCAGCCTTCTTCTGTTTTATTTTCTTGCCCATTGATATGTTGAAATCAGTCATTTTAAAGTACGTTGTTTGACATGATCACATGATGTGTTATCATCGTTTTGATTGGCTGTTTCATGAAACCTGTTCCATAAAGTTGAGACTCTTGCAACTTTTGTTTCAAGTGAGTTGCAGGTTGCTTTATGTTATGCAATTCAAATGCAATATAGTTTCAAGCAACTAAAACTGTGTGAAAGTTTCACCATGTAAAGCCAGCCTTACCATTGAAGATATGAGGTTTTGTTAGGACAAGCAATGACATTTTGTCTTACATCTCACATCCTCTTCCTCCTCTCAACAAAGGTATAATCGCTCAGTCCATCAGCACACAACCGAAAGAGTAAAGTCTGGCAGCGAATCACTGCAATACGGTGTGAACCATAATGGCCTTTGTCAGTAGACTGATTTGATCATTTGCAAAGTCTTAAGAAAGCTTTTGTGCAAACTTTTATGGTCAGAGTGGAAATGACTTTTTGGCGGAGAGAATTAGAGCGGTTTGATAGAACAGATCTAATCTGAAAGCCATTAGGAAACAGGAACAGACAACCAAGCTGATTTACCACTCAATTTGAAGGCTGTTTACTTTACCTCTGCAAGGTCTAAACCCTAAGAGACTCATATGCTGGCCCTCACTTCAGTTCCTCACTCTGATAAACATAAACTTACCTATTAGTTTCATAGTAATTACTGAATAAGGATTAATGACCGAATAATAGCCTGGGTCAAAGGATTAAACTCTAGGCTTAGTATTCAGTTATTAATCTTAATCCTTCTTATCCAAAAATCACTGCAAACTACTAAGCAACTACTATCTGGACCCACTGACAGGTTCTTAGACATAAAGAGCTTAAAAGGTCTCCTAAATATTTCAGTTTTTGTTGACTGTAAACTCCCCCTGCAAAGCAGTTGAGCAGCACTTCTGAGGATACATACTCTTACCTGTTGATTTTATCCTACTTTGAGTTCCTTTTTTAGCCTCTCCACCTGTCAGCAGCAGATTGTTAACAAAACAATGTAATTTCGAAACACAAAACAGGATGCAATTTATCAAGGGTCTGCAAGCAGCAAGCAACTTCTTGGCACTTAAATAGAGCTGTGCTTGTTGCTAAGGCAAAGGCTGCCTTCTAGACTTAAAAAAGCAACTGGGGCCAAGCGGTACAATTCCAGCACAGATACTCAGTATTCAGTCTGGAAGGAACGAATGTGGTGCCTGAGATTAAAAATCGATGTTGAAAAAATAAAAAAGTGAACAAAAGAGTAAAAAAGGGATGCTCTCCGTTCTCTCTGATTTCCCATTTTTAATGTAAGAAAAGATTACCTGCGGCATATCAAGGGTGATTTATCATGGTGTCAGTAAAATCCAGCTTTTTCCTATGTGGAAAAAGTAAATACACCCCTACATATATCACAACTTCAAAAGTGTCAAATTGAAATCAGGTGCACTCGATCAGATGCTAATGATTGTAACACAATTTAATATCTTGGAATAATGTGTTGTAACATAGGAGGCATTGGGGCAGGATGCAAGTGCGAGTTGCTTTTATTTAAACACAATTCAGAGTCCAAAAACACAGTAGCAGAGGTGTCCAAGACGAGACCAAACAAAGTAAACAGAACTAAACAAGAAACAAAAACAATAACCAGAGAAACAGGCAACAGCAACAGGGTATATCAGCACAGTAACAGGGACAGAAACAAAACTATGGAGTGAAGATTGGGCAGACGAAGAAGGAAACACAGAATTGAGGTTAGACTGGGCAGAGAACTGGAAGTGTGGTGTGGCCGGGAACTGAAAAGGTGGCTGAGCTGGGAGCTGGAACAGGAGAGGCCCTGGGAGCAGGAACAGGAGACATAGGAACTACAGGCGGGTCTGGAGACTTGGAAGCCGGCTGGCAAGGAGACGCTGTGCTGTCCTTGGGTACGGGCTGGACCACATTGACTGTCCTCGGGGGCAGGCGGGCCTGCTGCGATGTCCTCGGGGGCAGGCGGGCCTGCCGTGGCGTCCTGGGGCGCAGGCTGGGCCGCACCACCGTCCTCGGGGGTAGGTGGGCCTGCTGCGATGTCCTCGGGGGCATGCGGGCCTGCTGCGATGTCCTCGGGGGCATGAGGGCCTGCCGCAGCATCCTGGGGCGCAGGCTGGGCCACACCACAGTCCTCGGGGGTAGGCGGGCCTGCTGCGATGTCCTCGGGGGCATGCAGGCCTGCTGCGACGTCCTGGGGTGCAGGCTGGGCCACACCACAGTCCCCGGAGGCAGGCGGGCCTGCTGCAACGTCCTCGGGGGCAGGCGGGCCTGCTGCGATGTCCTCGGTGGCAGGTGGGCCTGCTGCGACGTCCTCGGGGGCAGGCGGGCCTGCTGCAATGTCCTCGGGGGCAAGCGGGCCTGCCGCGACGTCCTGGGGCGCAGGCTGGGCCGCACCACCGTCCTTGGGGGCAGGAAGCACATGTCAAAAGAAAACAAAAGCACATGGCAGATAAACAAAAACACACAGCACTAGGAAACCAAGGAAAAGGCAAAACACAGAAAGACCAGGACAAAGAGTGAACGGATGTTACATGTGTCTTATTTAAACCTCAGATATCTGGTCTGGTTTGCTCTTTGTTATGGGAATGTGTGATATCATCATGCCTAGATCAAAAGAGCTCTCTGACCCCTTCAGAAACAACATTGTAGATACACATAAACCTGGAAAGTGGTTTAAGAAGATTTCCAAAATATTGTAAATCAATTATTCCACTGTCTAGAAGATCATCTACAAGTGAAGAAGATTTAAAACCACTGCCAACTTGTCCAGGTCAGGCCAACCCAGCAAATTTAACCCATTAGCAGATCTTAAGATGCTAAAAGAAGTCTCTAACAACCCCAAAATTTCATCACAGGGTCTGAAAATAGCTCTTGCCACTGTTGATGTAAAAGTGCATGCATCTATCATTAGAAAAAGACTGCACAAATTTGGCCTACTTAAGAGGTACACCAGGAGGAAGCCTTTACTGTCTAAAAAGAACAATGGAGCAAGACTAAAGTTTGCTAATGAATATCTATGCAAGGACCTGGACTTCTGGAACAGTGTGCTCTGGACAGATGAGTCAAAGATAGAGTTGTTCAGACACAGTACCAGAAGCCATGTTCAGTGAAAACCAAAGACAGAATCTAATAGTAACTGTAAAGTATGTCGGTGGAAACGTTATGGTTTGGGCCTGCTTACTGCCGCATGGACAGGCTAGCTTGCAATCACAAGGTTATTCAACTTTAAATCAACTTTAAATTCTCTTTCATACCGGAGTGTTTGAGGAGAATGTGACACTGTAAGAAGATACGAAGCTGAAGAAGTGGAACTTTCAACAAGATAATGATCCCAAACATACAAGTAAAGCCACCAAGGAATGGCTCAAAAGGAAGAATTGGAGGTTTGTGGAATAACCTAGTCAAAGCCCAGATCTGAATCCCATCAAAATGCTGTGGATGGGTTTGAAACAAGCTGTACATGCAAGAAACACCTCAAACATTGCACAGTTGAAAGAATTCTGCATGAAGTAATTGGCAAAAAATTCTCCCCGTAGATGTCAGAAGCTGGTAGACAGTTATAGGAAACATCTACACAAAGCAGTACCAGTTACTGAAGCCAGGGGTGTACTTACTTTTTCAATGGAGACAATGATCAATTTACATTTCCAGATTTCTTGTTCGATTACATACTGTTTATCTGAAGATCAAATACTGATATGTCCACATATGTCCAAAAAAAGAAACACTTAATGGGGTGTACTTATTTTTTCACATGACTGTATGCCACTGAAGCAGTGAAAGACTTGAACCATGTCTACAACCATCAACCGTCAAGTATGGTGGAGAATCAGAGCAAGCTCCAGAATTTGGAGTTGGGAATTTGTTTTTGACTAAAGGCATTATGGATGCTGATAAGTACGAACTCATTTTAAAACACCATGCGCTACCTTCTGGAAAATATGTGACTGGGAAGAAATTTATTCTACACAAGACAACAACTCAAAGGCAAAGGTGGACACACTACATACTGAATAAAACGGTACTATATTTAATTGGCAAGACTTCTGTGTAATTTTCAGTAAAATATGTTTTCTGCTTTTTTTCCTGACAATGAAAAATGAATAACTTGTATTTAATTGCCATTTTGTCTGCCAATTCAAAATGAAAGGGTGGTCTCTGACAGAGTTGTCATTATCTGGTATATAAACTCTGCTTTTACTAAAGATGTCCCCTTTTTAAAGAGCATTATTTACAATAAGAGGATGTCAAAAAGGTACTGATGTGTATGTGGGTATCGATGTAGAGAGGTCAGAAATAAAAAAAAACTAGAAGACACAAGCTCTCTCACACATACTCTGTGAGAATGAAAGATGTTGGTATGCTTGTGGCAGGTGAACAAAGAAGTGGCTGCCATGCTTTTCAAATTCTTATGTTTTCTCCTCGGGTTGGAGATGGGGGAGATAGAGAGAGCAGGGAGGGATACAGGGACAGCAGCCAAGTGTGACTGTGCTGCTCGTATTTCTCTGGAAGCCTCTGTGGGCTCCTGCTCGGCGGCTGAGCTGAATACTGAACACCGCTGTGCCGCACTGCCGCTCCTACACCTCCAGGATGATAAAAAGCAACCTCTACACTCAGGACAAAGCAATGGCCTCTGCTGCACCGAATTAATACCACTCCTTCCACAGCAACAAAGGCAAGAAAACGGCCCAGTGTTTGGGCAGTAATTACACTTGACAACCATGAAGAATTATTTGTAAACAGGGTGACCTTTCTATTAATTCGATCCTTCACTTTGATGCATGGTCTCAGCACAGTGTCAGCTGTGTTAAGTGAGTTTTCATGAACCATAACGGCAAATTTCACTAATGTATGGATTTATCATACCTAATCGTGTACTGAAATTTAGCTGGTTTGAAGCATGGATACAGTGAAGTGGTTCTTAGGAACTGTCTAATTGTTTTTTGCTCTGTAGTCTCATATAGGCAGTGGTGAACCATGACTATTAGAGCTAGGCCTTTAGTTTAGGTCTTAAATGTCAAAACTCAGTCAAAAATAAGGGAAGAAATACCTCAACAATATTGCTAATTTTTTTAAGCGCCTATATGGAGTTCTAGTAGTATGTTACACTAAGCTAACAGCACCTCAACATTTTTGGTCATTCTATATTAAACATGGGCATCTGAAGCTTGTAAAAGAGATTTCATGTTTATTTTGACATATCAGCAAATTTTACTTTGTTTGTGACTTCAGTAAACAGCCCTGACATGGAGCTGTTGCTGTTTTACATTTCCAACCTCTTGAAACACACTGGTCAGTCTACCTCTCATACTTATGGTCAATGATGTATCTAGCTCTTCCAGAAGCCCTAGAGTGACAATTTTCTTCAGAAATTAAAACGTGATTGGTTCCACTGGTTAACCTGACATGTTAGGCCTTCAGCTCAGCTCCTGAAGCCCTGAACAATGAGAGAGCTAGCTTGTATCCACCTACATAACAAGGAGGAAAACGTCCTGACTGGATCATTTTCATTTGGCCATTTCAAGAATTAAAGCCTTTTGTTTATAACCAAAACCTAACAGTGAAATAGGAGAATTGCTGCAATACTTTCAGAGTTTAAATACAACAAGCATGATAATTATATTAAATAAAAATGAACTAACAATTGCAGATATGTATTTTTTTTTATTTCACAGAAATGATTAGCCCTGAGGGTTCCCCACTGCATATTGTCATAAAAAGACAACCCTCTTAAAAATAACCTTGCTAAAAAGGGTTCTTTTGAGGGATGCCATAGAATAAATGTCATTCCATAAACAATTTTTGCATTAATGGCTCTTTAAAGAACCATTTCTGTAAATTAAATGTGCATGAGTTAAAGAACCTTTTAAGTTCTGGCCTCTAGCTTGAACTCAATATGTTATTTGTTGTTTTATTGCAGTATTCGCTAATGCAGCATTATATCCCTCAGCCTCATTGATTTGATAGAATTCACTATTTCATATTGTTTTGAGGTTTTCATGAATCAATGTTCTCATTAAATTGCATTGCATAAATACATTATAACTACTGGGAATCCATGAAGTGTTAAGCAGTCCTTACTGCTAGTCTAGCTACTGATCTATAGGCTAATGAACACAACCAAGCTGTAACTCTTACCTCAGTCATTGAACAAAACTGTAAAGAAAACAGTACATCATTATTCACAGAAATAAACCAAACTAAGGAATCTGGATGACCAGCTACCTTGTTAGTTTTAGCTGTGTTTAGCTTAGACTTTTAACCAGAGCATCCCTTAAAGAACTTTGGCATAATGTATAGGTTCTACACTAATTACAGACCCTAGGACTGTATACTCAAGCCAAGAACCTCTTGGGAACCTTTGTAATTAAGATTACGATACAGCTGAAATATTAGACTGATTTCAGTCATATCTCACTGGCTCCATTTACTCTGATTAATGCTAACCCAACAGTAGCACTGACTCATTGTTTTGCTGAATAAATAAACAGCATATTCTAAAATTAAAGGACACCTGAGACCACTACAGCAAACCAAACCTCTGTGTAATAGGAGCTTTAATGTGCTTGCTGTCTATCTCCTGCTTTTTGTCATGTTAATAGCCTTGGGTGTGGAGCAGGGCGGAATAAGTGGGAAGTGGAATTGTGCACCTATATTAAGATTAAATCTAACTATTTTCCATTTGCTCGTCCACCGAAGTCTTAATCTCTAAACAAAATGAGTAGTGCCCTCCGCTTGGGCAAATACGCACTGCAAATGCAACTAATGATGTCCAACCCAATAACATTTCTTCTAATTGCGTGCAAGAGCCCCTCCCACCTTGGTGATGTGTAACCATTCTGCATAATTAATTGGAGAGCTTTAGCCATAACAGAATAGCTGGAGGGTTGCCGCAGTCCGGACACACCCCATTTAAATGCAAATCAAGCCTGGAGATGTAAAACAGAGATCTATTTTATTGTAGACTCTGAGAGATTAACACTGAAATACATTACGTGCGAGTCTCCAAGCTCAGTGTTCTGTGGACATTCAGCACTCATTACATTGGCCGGGAAGCTTGTAGGGTAGGGTCAGCACCATTGCCCAGGAGTTAACCAATGATCTAATTCTGACCAAGGTCAGGCTGAGGGGTATCACTGGGTTGATGTGCTGTAACTTGCGAGCTGGGTGTGGAGTGTCTAGACCTTCCAATCTGCCAATCAGTGAATGAAATGAGCTAAAAAGATGAAGGCTCTTTAGCCGAGGCCTTGATCCCGTGTTCTGGATGAGTGTCAATGTCTATAAAGATTCGAGGGCAGCTGTAGGAGAGAAGAGCGGATATCACCAAACCAGTGAGGGGAATAAGCTGGGAGGGAGATCAAAGTGACAGGCTCTGCAATTTAGGCCAGTGGGTTATTGCCACAGATTCACACAGAAGGAAA